CTAAAAGTACATCACGTTATAATAGACCGCTAAGAGTACATCACATTATAATATATTGCTAGGAGTACATCACGTTATAACATATTGCTAGGAGTACATCACGTTATAACATATTGCTAGGAGTACATCACGTTATAACATATTGCTAGTAGTACATCACGTTATAACATATTGCTAGGAGTACATCACGTTATAACATATTGCTTGTAGTACCAAGATATCCTCGATAGTCTAGGCTTACATTTCCCAGATTAAAACAAATATAAATCATTCCTGTTCACCATCAATATGCCATCCATTTCAAATTCATGATGATGTTATCTCTGCAGAAATGTACATAAGTACATTCAGGTATAATTAATATACAAGAAACCCTAAAGATGTAGTGGAGCCATTGTGTAGTTTTATCTGACTTAAGTCCATCTAATTTATTTATTGGTACGAATTTTTCTGTCCCTCAATGTAATAATCAAACAACACAGAAACGTAAAGACATTTAAAGAAGGCTTAGCGTATTAATTAAATAATACAACCAGAAATGTAACAAAACCTAAACGATTATTACTGGAACTATGATGGTTTATATATATACATCAATAACGAATGTACAATTGTTGTGACTTTATCATAGCATCACGTCTGATTATGATATTTTGCTGTTGTAACGATAAACAGTTGATTTTCTTGTCGCCAATTAACAGACAATAGTACCAGAGTAACCTCAATACAGGTCGAAACAAGTTGTTACAGTCTGAGATAACAGTACGCAGGCTTCATTTGTTCAGACTATATGTCACGAATTTTTATCCTTCAGTAAAGTGGAATTAATTGTTGAGTTGCTTGGCAACCACTCTTATAAACATGCATAGTCCAGTGGTTTCGTTAAAACGCGTGAGGCGATTGGTTGACACCTTTCAAAAGCTCGCGATTCAGTTTCCAGTTTAATCACTACATGATTGAGATATTCTTGTTGTGTACAGAGATGTGTGCTAACGATAGAAAGACATTACTCTCCACTTGTTTATTGTTATTAAGATAGAAAGAACATTAAATGCCTATCAGGAACTTCAAATTTTCGAAAAAGAAAATTAAAAAAAAAAGGCAAAAGAAGGAATGTAATCACGTTTATAATAACCAATCATATTTACCTGTCACTACAATAAACCTACGAAAAAAACAGTTAGTAAGATCACATCTATTTTTTTTTATTCCATCTCGAAACCTGCTTTCCGGCTTTATCGTGATGCTCAGAAAACTCTGGCAAATAGCACGTGCTACAGGGCCTTTCCAAGGGCAAGTACTCTCTCAGCAGGCAGGAGGTTATCGAGAAGTCCACTTCCCAGGCCAGCTGCGCTCCGGGAGCTGGGGGAACCAGTACCGCAAGCGCTTTCAACAAGGCGCGCGGCGCACATAACAGTTAGTCTGGGTCCAGTAGGAGTAAATAAATCTAGGCTAAACATGTAATGCAATCCCTGTGTTTAGAAATCAAACGTCTACTGTGAACGAAACTTATGATTAGAATTAGGATGAACAGTGCTAATAGTCCCCCCCCCCATAGAATCAGCAGTAACACTGAGGGCTTATAATCTTAAAATTCCGGGTTCGTTCCCTGTCGTGGGCACAACGTAGATACTCCATTGAAATAGACATGAATATTGCCAATAGTCCCCCGTTGGCTCAGCAGTAAGTTTAAGGGCCTATAATGCTTTAATTCCGGGTTCGATCTCTGTTGTGGGCACAGGGCTGATAGCTCATTGTACAGCTTAACGCTAAAACAACCACACAAACACGAACAGTGATAAAGTAGGGCTAGTGGCGAAGAACGGATAAATGATTATTAAAAAATCAATTATTGTGTATGAAAACATAGACAACACATGTTTTAAATACTTTATGATAAGTTTTTAAATTTTGCTATTTAGAATTGCAAACCAGGACCCTGAACTATCATAACCACAATAATTATTCTA